TTTGGCTCACAAAATTGACTTCGGAAATGAATTCAAAAACATATTCGGGACCCCGGAGTTTGTTGGTAAGTGACTTCGTTCCAGTGTTGGTTGATATCTCATAAACATCAGGCTGGCCGCCATTGCCCCCACAGTGAGGAAGGTCGTTTCCCTGACTTGTGTTCCGAGCTAATGGCCGTCTGTTTTCCTCTCATCTCCTGAGATTGTTAATTACGAACCCCTGGGTCTCGAGGCTGACATGTGGTAAGGACGCGCCCTTTGTGCTGTCATGTCTCTGGTTGATCTTGCTGTTCTCCTGATGCACTGTTTTGTTCTGTTTTTGCATTTAGGAGTATCGGGGTCATAACCTACATTCTGTAAGTACCACAGCCCTCAACTCGTGTAGTTCTTCCTTTTTCTTTGAGACCGTGTGTCTCGCTAGCCATTAAATGTCTCTCCAGCCATGCACGCTCCTTTGGTAAGCATATTCACTTTACATCCCAAAATATCTCTCACCTATAGTGGCTGAGCATCTTCTCCCAGCACAGAGCCTGTCATTGCAGACTTGTGGCAGAGTCAGTGTGAGAACGCACAGCCATCCATTACTGAGATGAGCAGGAAGAAGGGGTTTTGCTGTAAACTCATAGACACTGTTTCAGATTCACGTTTTGTGGGTTGTTTTGTTGTTTTTAAAATTTTTTTACTAGTCTTTAAATTTTTTTATTATTGTTGTATTGGAGGTATATTGTGACATTTATAAAAGCTCTTACAGTATGTCACAGTTGAATTCACCCCCTCCATCATTCCCCTTTATCCCCCCTAATTCCTGGAACAGTTTCAGCAGGTCTCACTTTTCCATTTTCATTCATGAGTGCATAATATTCCACCATATTCACCCTCCGATGCCCTGTCCTTATATCCTCCCCCTCCCAGTGGTACCAGCCCCTAGACTGGACCTGTTCTATCTTCTGTTTTCCTTTTTTTTTTTTTCAGCACTGGGTTTGGACTCAGGGCCTCACTCTTGTTAGGTGGGAGCTTTCCCACTTGAACCAGCCCCTTGTTGTACTGGGTATTTCTGAGATAAGGTCTCTCACAAACTATTTGTATGGGGCTGGCTTCAAACCATGACCCTCCTGATCTTGGCCTCCTGAGTCACTAGGATTACAGGCTTGTCCTCCAGTTTTCAAAAAAGACATTTTTGTTTGTTTCAGATAGCTGTACAGAGAGTTTCCTTGTGACATTTCCATGGATATATGTGTTATAACCTGAATTGGCTCATCCCCTCTATTTTTCTCCTTTCTACCTTAGTCCCCTTCTTATGGTGATTTCAACAGGTTTAAAATCCTATATTCATTCTTGTATAGAAAGTGCATCAGCCACACTCACCTTCCTAACTTCCTTCTTTCACCTCCCTCTCTCGTGTGTCACCTCCCCTTAGTGTGACCTGTGTTTCATAATATTGCTGCATTTGTGTAGGGTCTGTATTCCACATACGAGAGAAAACATGGTGGCCTTTGTCTTTCTGAGCCTGGCTAATGTCACTTACGATGATGTCCTCCAGTTGCATCCATTTATTTTGAAACCACTTGTCGCTCTTCCTTCTGGCTGAGTGAAACTCCATTGTGTGTACATCTACCACATTTCCTTGATGCGTTCACCAGTTGTAGGGCACCTGGGCTGTTTCCACACCGAGGCTGTTGTGGATAGTGCTGTGATAAACATTTGTGTGCCAGGGTCTCGACTGTGTCCTGCAGATTGACTTTCTGAATGAATCCTTCCCGTTAGGCTGACACCTTTGTTCGTGAAATGTAATTAAGTTCTAAAGTGACCACCCCAGTGACCAGATTGCAGTCCATGCCACACTCCCCTTGTCACCTGCCCTGGGGGAAAGGGACAGTGCAGGGGGCACTCTGTTAATGTCCTGTGTTGCACCTTACCTCTAACAGCCTAAGTGGGGCCTCCCCGTTTCTTGGAGACACTAAGCAAGAAATGTTAACCAATGTATCCGCTATCAACTACGAGTTTGGGGAAGAATACTTCAGTAACACCAGTGCCCTGGCCAAAGATTTCATCAGGAGACTTCTGGTCAAGGACCCAAAGTGAGTCTCCCCTGTTCCCAAAAGGGGCTGAGCAGTAGCTCAGCTGGCCTGGGACCAGCGCCTGCCCTGTGCACCTCATGACCTTGTCACACCCTGGCTGTTCCCTGCCAGAGGGAAATAGAGCTTCAGTAAATGCACAGGGGACCCCTTGTCCCCGCTGAGGCATTACAAAGCCATCACAAGGCCAGGGTTGTCTCTGGCTATCCTCTCTGAGCGTGTCCGCTGGGTCAGCCACTGTTTGCTGCTGTCACCAGTTTTGTTTTTCTTTCTTTCTTCCCCTTTCCTCCTCCCCCAAAGGAAGAGAATGACAATCCAAGACAGCTTGCAGCACCCCTGGATCAAGGTAAGTGGTGTGTCACCTTGCTGTTTTAATCATTTTCTCAGAGATCAGTTTGGGGATTCTAGACTTCACTTGTCCTGTCACTCTATGACTCACCACAAGCCACCTTGGGATATTGGGCATGCCATCGGTGCCATTTTTAATTCATTCTGACGGAGTAGAGTGTCTCCCTCTTGATGGCAGAGGCGGAGGGACAGAAATGGATATCACAGAGCAGGGCCAGAAGTGATCAAGTCCACTCAACAGCCATGTTTGGCTTGACTGTTTGACCAAACAGTGTGCTTTAAAATTTCAATGAATTCCCAGCCGGGAAGACCCCATCAAATCTGGATATCCAGCCTCTGTTGGAAAAATCTAAAACTCTACCAACACTGATTCCTTTGACCAGGCCACATGGTTGTCCTCAGGCAGGTGACACCTGCCCCGCTGGCATTGGTTGGGCTGAGGAAACTTAAGTTGTCTTAATCTGAAAATGGACAGGAGTGAGGCTGGGGCACTTAGCGTTCTGTCACCGTGACAAAAGCTGGGCGGGGAGGAGGTAACTTACTTTGCTCACAGTGCCAGAGGTCTCAGGCCATGGTCAGTTTCTCTTGTGTCGTGGCCGGTGGTGAGGAACACACGATGGTACTCACATCATGGTAGCCAGAAGAGGGAGAGAGAGCGAGCAAGAGCAAGGGAGAGAGAAAGAGAGAGAGACAGAGACAGAGACGGGAGTGGGGGGAGAGGGAGGAAGGAAGAGGAAGGGGTAGAGGGAGAGAGGGAGAGGGAGAAATAGAGACAGAGACAGATGGGGGAGAGGGAGAGAGAGAAAGGGGCAGAGCTCCCCATGTCCCCTTCAAGGGCATACCCCCAATGACCTAAGTTCCTCTCACTAGACTCCTAAAAGGTTCCTCTGCTTCCCAGTGGCACCCCAGGCTGCTCACCTGTCCTACTTCATGAGCCTTTTATGGGGACACTTGTGATCCAAACCTTAGCAGGTGAATATGGTACTTAAGAACACCGCGGAACCAATAGGCAGGCATTGCAGAAGCAGGATTTGGGCAAGCAGAGGACCCTGTGCCCAGGTGACCTCCTGACAGCTGCCAGCACCTAAACACACCCACCGAGCAAGGTGTGGTCGGTGGAAGGCCTTTGAATGGTGCAGTGAAACCCAAATTTGCACACTTCTGACATCCCTCCCTGCTCAAAATTACTTAATGATACCCAAGTCCAAATGGCCTCCCCTGAGTCTTCCCACCCTCAGACTGCCGGTGTGCAAGGCAGTGTTTAGTTTGGCTCTAGGCTCAGTCTATGTGTTAGATCACCCCATGGCTGTCGAGCCAGGCCACTAAGCCTGGGTTCCTGGATCTCCCGGGCTTTCCCGGCACCCACTACTTATTTTTTTAGGAAGATGAATATGTAACCTTGGAGGAATAATGACAGGTTTCAAATAGTCTTCACAGAACCTGTTCTAATTTTTCTTTTTTTTTCCCCCTCTTAAACTTTCATTTTAACCTAAAGAGACACAACAAGCACTTAGTTGAAAAGCATCGGCAGTAAACATGGAGAAATTCAAGAAGTTTGCAGCCCAGAAGAAATGGAAAGTAAGATTGTTTGAGATCTCCTCTACACAGCTCCGCCTGGTCAGGGCTCACCTCTCCCCATATTTGCACTGAGAAAACACACCCGGATTTCAAAAAGTCACTCTGTCATCTTCTGCACTGTTGCCCAGGTTTCCAAGACAAGTGAAAACTATTTTAGTTCTGTTTAACTCACTCTTTCAAATACAATTTTGCATTTTTTTTTCACCCAAACCATTCCCAGGGCAAATTTTAAAATTAATGCAATGAAATGCGTAGACTCTCAAACAAAGCCCTGAGAGTAAGGCTTAAGATTTGAGAAGAACCCACCATTGAGGTTCTGTCTCTCTCTCTTTCTCTTTTCTAACTGTTGCTTCTGCTTTGGTGCAGAAGACATTTGTCCTGTAGACTAAGCAGGCTTCCCTCCAGTTCATTTCAACAACAAGACGCTTTCTGTTTGTCTTGGCAGCCCTGGGATTTGAACTCAGGGCTTCATGCCTGCTAGGCAGATGTTCTAACACCTGAGCCACACCTCCAGTCCAACCATTTGCATTTTGGCGATCGTATCATCTACCAGTGCCACTTACCTGGGTCCAGAGGACTCAGAGCAAGTCCCCCTCTGAGGGGGACCCACAGGGTTTCTTGGGTTCCAGTCACATTCCAGAAAGGATGGAAGACAGTATGGAGACAGACAGGTTGTGGAGCTGTAGCCGTGCAGTTTCATAATGCAGTTAAATCTCTGTCTGTTCTCTTGATTTATCAAACCTTTAAAACCATCCTTGACTCAAATACCGTCCATCCGTCCAGCCCACTGTGGGATCGCCCCCCCGCCCCCACTCTCCCACCCCCACTCTCCCACCCCCCAGCCCACCCCGGGAAAGAAAGCAAACCCTGTCCCCAAGCCTGCTCACCCTACTGATCTGAACATGGTTACATAAGCTCCTTCCTCCTCTCCTGAATTTTTTATGTCTCTCTCTTTTTTTTTCCCCTACTTTTAAAGCAATCCGTTCATCTGATATCACTGTGCCAAAGATTATCCAGGTCATTCTTGTCCAGAAGTAACATGAGCGTCGCCAGAAGCGATGACACGTTGGTAAGTGTCAGTGCTGTGTGTGCAGAGCTTCTAAGATCTGTCTGTCCAACAAATCCACAAAACCCCAAAGAAATGTCCCTGGCTTGGTCCTCTGTGGATGGAAGACTGACTGGGTGTACCCTGTTGTTTCTTCCCTCCCTTTTTCACTTTGATTTGCTTGGTACTCTTCCCCGCTGTGCCTCTAAAACAACCCCCCCACCAATCACACACACTTGCTCTCCTCACTAGCTCTCCTCTGCCTCTCTCTTCGCCAAAAGACAGGGTAGCCAGCAGCACAGGAAAGAGCCCGTTCTAAGTTGCATGACCTACAATGAGAGCTCTCAATTGTCACTGACACAGGAGAATCCAGGGACCAAGGTGGTCCAAAACACAGTCCCCATCCTCTTCCCCCACCAGCTTTAGGGGAGGACGCTGTCCTGCTGGCCGGTGTGTCTCGTGGTAGGCCAGAAGGCCAAACTCACTTAATTTATTTATTGACATTGTACTGATGGCCCAGCGCCCCCGAGAACAGCACCACAATTTCCCCCGGTCCACACTGAAACCGAGTCATAGATTAGCTCTTCAGATAGGACAGCACCCATCTGAATTCAACAAGCTTCTCGCCCACCATCAAACAACAGGGCTTTGTTAACTCTGGAGGCAAAGGGGACTCCAGAAAAGGCAGACCGGGTAGTTTTGTGGGAACCACCCTGTCCCGTAACCCAATAGTCAGCGTTTCCTGGGTGGAGTGGAAGACTCCAAGGCCAAGGGTCACACACCAGCAGACACTAGCTCTTGTTTTTCCTCCAAAGCCAGTAGCTTTACTAAGGTCCCAGGTCTGACCTTGCAGGGTAAAGAGAGAGGAGATGTTACAAAAAGAAGAGAAGGAAGCTAGGAGGAAAGGGAGAAGAGGAGGAGGAAGCCTTGCTTGGGGACTGTGCGAGGGGCCAGCCCCGATCTGGGGGAAAGATGGAAACTCCTGATAGGGAAGTCATGAGAGTGGCCGAAGAGTGCAAATTCTGTCATCTGAATATTCAGTTAGGAGGACTGCACGTGTCACAGTGAGGCTCATAGGAGAGGGACCAAGGTGACCCAGGAGCTACAGGTGGGCCGATTCCCTCTGCACATTCCCTCCGCACCCCATGTGCTGCCAACTCCAGGGCCTGAACCAAGACTCTGCTGCATTGCTTTTGCCCCCGTGCAAGTGGTCCCTGGGTTGTGACAGAAATGCAGAGCCTATGGCATTGCTAAGTGCACGTCCCATACAGATCCTGTTAAAACCCTTGTGGGATTTGTTTGCATTCAGATCTGTAGAGAAAACCAAGGGTTCTCCATTCCATCTCACAAGCACTTAGCCTCTGGCTGTCCCTCTTCCAGATCTGAAATTTCAGTAGCCAATGAGGGCATATATGTACTAATTACACATATACATAATATATACATTAAATGTATATATATATGCTAATCATATATGTGTGTGTGTGTGTGTATAGATATATATAGTCCAAATTTTGACATATTTTAGACATGGATAAGGAAGACATTTAAGTTATCTTAAAAAAATTATATTACAGAATTAGAAAACTTGCAAATGAAGACTTCCTTCTTCAAAGTTTCCATTTCCCTGGTTCTTTGGATGTTCTTTTTCTTATCCAGGTAGAGAGTCCCGAGATATGTACGAAGGGTCAATTTTCATCGTCCTTGTTCAGAATCTCAGTCTTGAAAGCTGTTTGCTTTCCGGGTTGCAGTGCAGGTGGCCTTGGGCTAGGGGAAATAGGAAATGGTGTTAGTTTGCGACACGTCACCTCCCAGTTCCCTTCAGGACCCTGTGGCTGGGGGTTATTTGCCGTCCTGGGAGTCCTGTCTTTCACAAGGGAGCAGCGGTCTCTCTCATGTTGGCAAGAGGACGGTGGCCAGCGTGCTAACTCTTGTTCTGTCCCCCATGGCTGCCTCAGGATGAGGAGGACTCTTTTGTCATGAAAGCCATCGTCCATGCCATCAGTGACGACAATGTCCCCGGCCTGCAGCACCTCCTGGGCTCCTTGTCCAACTATGATGTTAACCAACCCAACAAGGTCTGCTTCTCCCCTGCCAGGGTGGACGGGGGTCCCAGTGACCAAAAGACCCCACTGCTTGTTTGCCCCCTTCCCGTCAGAACCTCCATGTGGAGGCAAAAATCACTTCCGTTTAATGATGCAGGGTTGCGAACATGGCCTTGCTCCCGAGGGCCTTCCTTCACTCTCCAGCTTCTGCCCTGAAATTTTGGACCTCCTCATCCTGCAAATGGCAATCGGACCTTTGATTGTGACTCCCAAAGAGGAAGGGCTGCTTGTCCCTGGCAGCTCGGTGTCTTTCCAGACCTGGGGAGGTGTGGGGGACAGTGGGGAGACCTTGGGCTTTGCCGGGCCACCAGACCTGAAAACTCCTTCTTTTTTGTTGTTTTCTCTCTCTGTTCCAGCACGGGATCCCTCCCTTACTCATTGCTGCCGGCTGCGGGAATATTCAGATACTGCAGTTGCTCATCAAGAGAGGCTCCAGAATCGACATCCAGGACAAGGTCATGGTTCTTTTCTCGGAAATGGGCTCCTGTCCTTATGTGTTTCCGACTGTCTGCACATCACAGGGGTAATGGAGAGACACGTGCATCCCAGTGCTCCTCGCTTTCCCGGGAAGGAAGGCGCATGGCTTAGACAGTGGGTGGATTCAACACTCATGCATGTGGACGAGCCTTGCCCTCCCCGGTGGCTCCGGCTCCACCGCTCAGCTCTACCTTGCTTGCTTTTACTCCTTCCGGGCTGACTGCGTTTGACAGCAGTGTTAGAGGTCACACCCAGGGGGGTCCGCCACCTACTTCACCTGCTCAGAAACGCGTCCTCCTGCAGGCTCTTTACGCAGCCGAGCAAGGATGGCGCGCCTGGAGGTGTGGATGGAATTAGGGGTGTAGACAGTTTATTAACAGCTGATGATTATCACAAGGGTCTGTCACCTGTCCCAGACTTCCCTTCTCTCTCTTCCCTTCCCTCCTTCCTTCATTCCTCCCCCTTTTATCCTTCCTTCCCTCCCTCCTTCCCTATCTCCTTTCTTCCTCCCTCCTCCCCTCCCTCCCTCCTTCCTTCCCCTCCTCACTCCCCCCTTCCTTCCCTCCTTGCTTCCTTTCTTCCTTCTTTCTTTCCCTCCTCCTCCTCCTCCTCCATCTGCTCCTCCATCTTCTCCTCTATCTCCTCTACTTGAGCCACTCCACCAACCCTGTTTTGTTTTGGGTTTTTTTTGAGATAGGGTCTCACAAACTATTTTCCTGGGCTGGCTTCAAACCTCCATCCTTCTGCTCTCTGCCTCCTGAGTAGCTGGGATTACAGGCATGAGCCACGGGCAGTGGCTGCCATTGACTTCCCACAGAGCTGTGCACGGTGGATCTGGCCCTTGGTAGTGCAGTCAGCCCTGCATCTCCACAGACTGCACACCCATGGGTTCAAACGTGAACCAAAAATATCTGAAAAAAATATTACAGAAGTTTTCCGTCTTGCTACCCTCGTATAACAACTGTCTGGGCGGGCTGTGTCTGGGATGCAGTGAGGGGTTCAGCCTGGGGGAAGCCGCGGGTTGGCTCTGTGCAAACGCCACACCATTTTCTGGAAGGGATGTTTGTCTTGTGGGTTTGGGTATCTGGAGGGTTCAAGAACCAATCCCCTGCACATGCCAGGGCTGGCTCTGCAAGAAATTGTCACCAGAGGTAGAAATGAGGGTTTAAAAAAAAAGAGAGAACCCTATTTTTTACTTTGGAAGGATTTTGCATTTGCAAAGTAGTTCCCACGGTGGCACAGAGACAGAGCGTTCCCTCAGGCCCCTGGCCTGCTTCCCCCGACCACCTCCATTGGTCACAATCACACAGCCATCCTACAAACCCCGGAAGTCAGGTGGGGCTCTGTTCCTCTTGGGAGTGGCCCCTCTGCGGTTGTTGTCACTTGGGAGGGAAATGTTCTCAAAGCCAGCAGCTCCCCAGAACCCCATTCTGCTTGATCTTTCCGCAGGGTGGGTCCAACGCCATCTTCTGGGCTTCTCTGCACGGCCACGTGGATGCGTTGAAATTTCTCAACGACAACAAATGCCCTTTGGATGTTAAAGACAAGGTGAGACCGCGCCTCTGAGGAGGAAGGAATAAATGGCTGTCCTGTGCACCAGGACCCTGTGAATAAGGACTCAGGACCACAGGGGAGCAAAGGGGGACGCTCCTGTCTCCTGTGGCTTGTTCTACTGTTGTAATCTGTTACATATGTATATATAGAGAGAGAGACATACACAGAGTAATTTTAACTTTGATTGTTGCACTGGGGCTCCATTGTGACATTTACAGACGTTCTTACCATATATCACAGTCAAATTCACCCCTCCATCACTCTCCTTTATCCTCCCTCCCTCCATTCCTGGAATAGTTTCAGTACATCTCATTTTCCATTTCCATTCATGAGTGCATAATATTCCACTGTTTTTACTCTCCTTCATCCTTTCCTTATATCCTCCTCCACGACACCCACTGATGCCAACCTCCCAGACAGGACCTGTTTTACCTTCCTATCATTCATTTTTTGGGGGAAAAAGAAAGGTATTTTTGTTTGTGTAAGATCTTTGTTTGTATACATTCTGTTTGTGTAGAGGGAGTTTCATGGTGACATTTCCATGTTTGTATGATAACCTGGACTGGTTCGTCCTATTTCTCTCCCTTTTTCCTTAGTCCCCTTCATATAGGGTGATTCCAATAGGTTTAAAAACTCTATGTTCACTCTTTTATTCTTGTATTTTTAAGCAAACCTCTAGTACTCTTCCTCTTTGAAGAGGCTGGCAGTGTTGATCTTACAGTCAGTTGATTAACCAGAGAGCACAGAGTGAAGATTTTTTGGGGCAGGGGGTGGTAAAGACGTTACTGAAGTTTCTGGTTACCTTACTTTAACACGTGTGTGTTTTACACAGTCTGTAAGTCAGTTGGCAGCATTGACTGAGCCCGGGATTCCCACCCTCCTGTCCCCTCGTTGTTCTTCTGTGCATTGCTTCTGCTTGCAGAGCTCACGGGCTGATCTTCTGCGTGTACCCCAGGTGGCCACACGGTCGCACAGGTCACGTATTGCCTGACAGTCAGGCAGAAAGCACCATCTTAGCTCTGTCTGGGGAAATCAGCTTTTAGGAGGAGAAGCTTATTTTGGGTTCTGGTTTTAGAGGTTACAGTCCTCTAAAACTGTAACTTTGTTGCTTTGGGGCCCAAGGTAAGGCAAAATACCTTGTCAGGGAGCAAAGCTGTCCACTTTGTGCCAATGATATCTGGTCCAGGGTCCCACGACCCTCTTCAAGGGCATTTTCCTCCCCCACCCCACCCCCCGGTGACCTCACTTCCTCCACAAGGCCCCACCTCTAAGTGTCCCCCTACCTCCCACCATTGTGGCCATTGCCCCAGGCTGACCACACAGACACAGCCTCTGGGGGACATCTGAGACCCTAACTGTGACACAGGTGTTTATTGTGGCCATTTTCTGGCAGTTGGCGATAAAATAACTTGTTTTGCCTTTTTTTCTTTTTTTCCCTGTACTGGGGTTTGAACTCAGGGCCTTCACCTTGAGTCACTCCACCAGCCTTTTTTTTTTTGTAAGTGTGTGTTAGGTATTTTCAAGATAGGGTCTCATGAACTGTTTGCATGGGATTGGCTTTGAACCAGATCCTCCTGATTGCTGCCTCCTGAGCAGCTGGGATTACAGGTGTGAGCCACCAGCCCCTGGCTGTCTTTTTTTAAGTTAGTTTTTTTCTGACATTTTTTTAGGGAGTGGAGTAAAGTTAAAGTATCTTAAAGAAGTTGTCCTATTGCTATTAATTCACAGAAATCTGTTGTCCATTCCTTAAAATCCCCGAGAGTGTAAGAACCGGGTTTGTAAGCAGACATGCCTGAGAAACTTGTTAAGCAAATAATTTTTGGTGGTTTTTTTTTTTCTTTTTTGTCAGTCCTGGGGTTTGAACTCAGAGCTTTGCACTTGTGAGGCAGGTGCTCTACCACCTGAGCCACTCTGCCAACCCTTTCTTTCTGGTTATTTTCTTTTGGAGATAGGGTCCTGCTCACAGAGGCGGCTCTAACTATCCCTCCCTTTTCCTTTGCAGTCTGGAGAGATGGTCCTGCACGTGGCAGCCCGTATGGCCACACGGACGTCATCCAGCTGCTCTGCAGCTTCGGTTCGAATCCCGACTTCCAGGACAAGGTGGGTGGCGGAGCCGACGGGGCTCACTCCCTCTGCTTTCTGTCTTGGTGGTCAGGCAGCCAGGGGACACAGCAGGGTCCATAGGAGTCAGGCTTGTTGTCATTTATGACCAAGGCCATCGAGCCCAGCCCTCTGCAACACCTGACGTGTGGCTAAGTGCTCCATGCATTCATTTCCTCCCCGGGAAGTCCTGCGAGGTGTGTGAGCATCCCCATCACCATTGTCTCTCAGATGGGGGACAGAAAAGTGCCACAACTCGCCCAAGCTCTCATACAAAGTCTGGCTTCGGAATCTGTGGCCACCATGCTGTCATGGGCTCTCCAAGGCCGAAGTGTGTCTAGGGACACGGATGGTGAGGGGAAAGACCTCACAGTCTGGGGGCCTCCAGTCCACTTGGGGCATGCATGGCTACCTTGGTTGCCTCCTGGCCGAGGTGGCAGAAGGCGTGTGGTGTGAGGACCGCTCAGGGGGCGTCTCCCACCGTGGACACCGCAGGTAGCTGAGCCCCCAGCATGAAGGCTCTGTGTTCGGGAGAGCCGAGCCGATGGTCCCCAGTGGGCATCCAAGTCACTCGTGTGTCATGCACTGAGAGAGTCAGGTCCACCCAACACTCAAGCATTGAGAAAGAAAACGAAGACCGACAATGCTTGGTGACAGTGGCTCCCACTGGTGCCCCTGTTTCACAGTCACCTCCCCCCCATTAGCTGTGATGTCTTTCCATCCACGACCTTGACATGACTTTGCCATAGTGTTTGACCCTGCCCTGCACCTCCTTTGATGTGAGTGCCCTCATGTCCGTGGCCAGGAAGAAGAAAACCCCCTGCACTGTGCCACCTGGCACGGTTACCACGTGGTGGCCAAGTCCCTTTGTGAAGCCGGCTGCAGTGTGAACGTCAGAAACCGAGAGGGAGACACCCCTGCTGACGGCCTCAGCCAGGGGCTTCCACGACATTGTGGAGTGCCTGGCAGGACACGGGGCTGACCTCAATGCCTCGGACAAGGTGCTTTGCGGGGCGGTGCATCCCACTCACCGGACACCATCTGGCGGGGTGGCTGGCTCGGGGGACCCCAGGGCTCTCTGAGAAAACCCACTGTTGAATGCAACAAATGCAGTTACCTTCTGCTCCAAAGACCTCTTTCCACATTCTCTTTAACAATTAATACTCACTTGTGACCAGTCCACTGGTCACTATTTTAATTTCAACCTTTGAACTTTCGGTGGGGATACAGTGTGTTCACTGAATGAATCCCAGATAGCCCTCAGTGAGGACCAAAACTACCAACATCCAAGAAACAGGTGTTTTATTTTACTTCCACCACTTGCTTGTTTTTGTTTTAAAAAAGGACCACCGATCCAGCAGTCTCAATCGGAGACAAGCTGCTTTTATTTGAACCTGTCCTGAACGTGCAGCTGTGATGTTGCCGTGTGCAGTTAGGCTTAGGTTGGTAAGTTGCTCGTGAAGCCTTGTCTTGGCAAGAAGCAGTGGTTCTCAGCTGGCCCTGGGGGACTTTTTTAGTGGTTGGCAGGCACAGTTGGGGTTTTGGTTGTACTAAGACCTGGTCCATCAAGGCGATGTGTCGGTCAGCCTTGTAGGACTCACCAGAACCCACAGCAGAACTGCCCAGCTCCAATGATTGGCGTGCTGACCAAGTGAGCGCAGAAACTCGCAGGGTCAGTGACGAAATGCCTTGAAAACCTCTCTGAGCAACTCCCAGCAGCCAGCCTCTGCTCACCAGGGACTCTGCAATGTGTGGGTGAATGCCCAGCCGCTGTCCCTCCGACTCTTGTGTCCGTGACGGCCTAGGAAGTTAGTTTAAGT